CAGAAATCAAACAAAATTTGTTTTTAGAAGAAGGAAAGAACCTTATTCCACCATTGAACGTTAGGCTCTGTTTTGTGAGCATAAAGAGTTGATACCAGAGGCCACCACCTGACTCCACCAGAAAGCTTCTGTCTGAGCCCAGTGAAACCAAGGAATTGGCTTCAAGAATCATTCATTACCATGATAAATCATTTGCAAAACAAAAAGCACAAGTGCTCCCTGCATTTCTGGCCTTCAGCCTCAGCATTTATTTAGCCCAGGGTGTAGTTTCATGTTGTAAAAAAGGTTTGTCTTTTGTTCTGCCTCAAACAATATCTCACTGTGTTAAATGAGACCTTCATGTGAGAAAAAACCTGCAGAATTAGTCACTTCCATCTCTCTTACCTCTCTGTTTATCAGCTGAGAAATTATGCAATAGCAGAATATCTAAATGTTGCTGAAATCCAAGTACTTTACTATAATATATTGTTTTAATGTTCATAAACATTCAACGCTGACCTAGCTTGCTTTCACTGATATTATAGGGATTTGGACTTTTAAATCACTCTCAACTGTATCAAGAAAACAATTTAGAAAAAATGCCCAGTATTGCCATGTCTTTCTGCAGGCCCTTAAGTTGTGGCCTTTTTACTAATACGATCAGCTTTTCCGTTCCTTTTCCTTTGCTGCTAGTGCCTCTGTACCACCCTGCCCTCTTCCAGAGCCCGCACACTCACCCGCCCAGCCCTTGCCTCTGCCTGGCAGGGAGCAGGGAAGGCCAGCAGCAAACCAGGTGGCAACTGTAAGAGGCAGCCTTGAGAAATGCTGCACAGAGAGGTGTGACAAGGATGCTGTCTGTCTAAGGGACTTATGCCCATTTGTTCCACTTGCTGGAAGTTCCCTCCTAGCAAATCCTTCCTCTCCAAACCAAGCCAAAGGTCCTCCTCTTTCTGCCCAATACTCACGATCAGAAGATATCCACAAGATATGCCAGATTTACCTGAAGAAACTTGATGTTTCTCACTTCCAGAAACATATCCCAATTTCCAGATTATAGCCTTACTTATTTCACACTCTCTGCAGACTGGAGATCTGACCCCAGATTTCCCGTGCCTTAGTCACTCCAGCCACTGGCCTGCTACCAGTTCCCACCTTTGGTATTTTTGATGCCTTAGGTAGATGAAAGCCACATAGCCCATAAATCTAAAAGGAGCTATAGCACGAGCTGGATGCCCAGTCAGTTACCACAGTCATGACTTGGGTACTTCTGGCCGTGCCTAGAGGCAGTTCAGCAACCAAAGGGCTAGTGGAAGATGGAGCTCTGAGGACTTTAAGCACAAAGTTAGGTGGCAATAGAGCAGAGGTTCTAAGTACCTAATTTTTGATTTAGGCACTTCAGTTACCAAATGCTACACTACAGTACAGCCTGCAATTTGCAAACCCAGTTAAGCCTCTACCCTTACTTCTTCATCATTACTATATTCATGATGCAAGATAGCACTGTGTACTGGTACATGAGGAATTCACACCTGCATTTGTCTGTGCGGCTGTAACTTTATGCCCAACATTTTACTTCTGCGTTAGATAATGCAGAAGCTTCACCAAAGCTTCCGTTTTCAAAAATGCCAGTAAACATACCATCATCAACGTCAAAATCAACTGTGAAATGTAATACTATTAATTGGGAAGCAAAAACGATTTATTTTAGTTGTGGATTTGATTTTTACCAAATGGAATTAATGGTACAATATAAAGTAAATGCTGCTGTATGTAGGTAAGCATTTTGCTCAAGGTCCGGGCTGTTTTAGTCTGTTTTTTAAAAGCATTTTTATTCATAAATTGGAAGGTAAAAGAATTAATACATCTTTTGGTATCAATTTCTGCATGCAGGACCAAGCAAGCAGGACAGCATACTCTTTAATGTGACCACTTTTTCAGAATAGACATTAACAGAGGCTTTTTCATGCACAGTTGATTTTGTATAAACTGATTGACACCTTGGGGGGTCGTCTTTCCACTGACTCATAATTTTGCTCACTCTTGAAAAAAGCCTTCTGCACACCCAGTATTCTCTAGTTAAACCTGAAAATTCAACTCATCATATTTACACAATAAAAAAAAATCCATTCTGCGTTGTTTTTAATTGCAAATCCTACTCAAGGGACCAATTCTCCTGCTTAGGAGGCAGCCCTGTGCCTTCTACTAGAGAACCAACTGCAGTCAATTATGGTAATGAAATGTCAATAAATATAAAAATTTAATACAGCCTGCTCTTGGTGAGTGGCAGATGAGGACTTGCCTCCCAGACAAATTTGCTGGTGCTGCAAATATTAAATGCACCTGAAAGAGTAGCAGGTTGCCTGAGAGCTCTCCAGTAGAGGGATGGTGGGAAATCCAGGCATCTACTGGGTTTTTCCATTATGGCATAATCGCTGCACTAAGGCCACTGATATTCTTGACATCCAGACATCTTAACTTCTTATTATGAAGTGAATAGCATATTTCCCCACAAACTGGAATCTCAGTGAGGGATTTTGAGCTTTTTCCCCCCTTAGCAATTACAAAAGGGAAATTAAGTTGTGAAAGTTGGTATTTATATGTGACCAGTTTCTCAATATGAAGTAGTGGAATCATGTCATTACATTAAGCTGCTCTTTGAGTAAAAAGTATTTGAGGTATGTCACTTCATATTTTCCTATTACTTATATAAGTATATATACACTTACATATAAAGAAATATGTATAAGTGTTCATATAGAAAGAGACAAAAATAACAGATGAACTAGAAAGTAATTTATGAAAGATGGTTTGTCTGGGGTTCCCAAAGACAAGATCCTAGTTTTGTCACAGACATCTTTGGCCCTGAGTAAGCGATTTAATGGCACTACTTCAGGTTTCCCAGGTGTAAAAGAGAGCAATAAATCCTACCTCACAGGATACTTAAGCATAATCCATTGACTTAATTGAAACATAAGCACAACTTTGCAGAGTTGCAGCAGTATTATTCTTAACATCCATATAAAAAGTATAACTTCATTTTTCTTGTACAGTTGCCTTCAATCAATGTCTTGGGAACACTAAGAGTACATATAGATAAAATGTCTTATTAAAAGTAGTAACCTATTGATTATATTAAGGTCATCTATAGGAGAAGTTACTTCTAGTTCCTTTCAGTCATCTCTCTGTCTTTCCTGGCTGAAATTTTGTCAGATTTAAAGAATTTCGGGTTATTTTCTTGCTTTACTGCTGTTTATACTTGAGCAAAATAAATTCAATAATTTTAAAATAAATAAATAAAAAATATTTCAAAATACATGTTTCTTAACAGCTTTTTAAAAAATAGTTTTTAAGGGATTGATGCCTGGAAAAACAAAATTTTGCAGTATTGCTCTATTTTCTGTGGTGATACCTGGCAGTTCTTCATTAACTACTCTATTATGGGAGACCTTAAAGCTGGGATTAGAGCACCGATACCTTTAACCAAATCATTAACCCAAAGCGCTCACTTACCATTGCGCTCAGTCTTAGTTTAGAGCCAGACTTCACTTACATCTACTTACACGAAATACGGGTAGCAATTTCCCTGCTGTTATGAAAGCTCCTAAAAGAAAAAGGTGCTGGTAATATTAGAGCAACCAGGCAAGAAAAGATTTTTAGATTATCTTTTTTCAAATGTGTCAATAACCCATTTAGGTCTCAGCCAGTCGACCCAGAGCCGGTCAACATGGGAGCAAGCACCACAGAGGGCCATTTTCACAGGACAGTGGTGCTTGTAAGTAATACGTGACACACTCAGATGTGAACAGGGTGAGCTGGAGGTATCTCACCTGAAGCAGTTCCACCCTGCTCCATGTGTCTGTCTCTGTGCTGGAGCTGCCCCATCTCGCCGCCCTCAGCCCGGCCCCAGCCTCTGCCCTTCACCTCGGCATGGCGGCGTTCCTGCAGGCTGCGGCACCCGAGCACCTTTAATGGTGTGCATCTTCAGAGTGGCAGAGCACGGCCCTCTGCGTGGAAACATCCCATCAATGGGCCTGGCGTTAGGCAGAAAAACGTTTCAGTGTGCAAGCAGTGGGGAGGTTGCCCAAGAGTCAAGGATTTCCCAGGGGTGTGTCAGCTATGAAAGGCTTTAAGTATACTTTGCTTGTGAATATTACTTTTCTTTTTTTTTTACTATGATGTATTAATTCTGTTGGATTTCTATATACAAGTGTCATTTTGGAAAGCTCATAGACAGGTCAGCCTCCCCCGAGAATGAATGGGTAGCATGACAAGGGCAGCAGACCCCAGAGCAGTCTCACTTCTTTCTGTGCTCCAGAGAAAGTAGTTTTGTGCCCTGGAGTTGCTGCTGGGGACCGTGCAAGTGCAGCTGCCCTGCCTCGTGCACCTGCCCGCTCCTCCGGCACTCGCAGGGGAGGACTCACCAGAACAAGCCCGTTGGAACCAATTCCAACAAATCCCAGGATTTTGTGTAGCTAAGGAGAACAGAAACTGCCCACACAATACCTCTGTTTCCTGTGGGAACACACCGACATTTCTGGGCTTGAATAGATGTTTCTGGCCAAGTTACGGACACTGGACCATTTCCCATGAATACCTTTATGTCCCTCTGGACTAACACACCCCGCATAGGTGCAAAGCTCATTTCATTAGTCTTTCTTCACAGGATCATACAAATACAATGAGAACAAGGGACACCAAATGAGCAACACAAACTGTTACGAGGACAGCTACCGGTGTCATAAGCAGTTGTCATATATAAAGCTTCTAAAAAATGCTAATACAGACAAGCCAGCATTCATACTGATGTGACATACCATTAAAATATATAGTTCAATAATATATTCAATATATGCCATTGTTTTAAAATAGGTTTATAATTAAAACCATCTTGACTTGATAACATCATTAAATTGAGAGCGATTCTTTTATCCAGCAGTAACCCAGTTGTATGTGATTGCTTGAAACATCCTAAAGTGGTTCTGTGGGTGTGACAACCAGACAAATACAATTCTCTTTTACAGGTGGATTATTCCATAATAGCATCCCAAGCTGGAGCCACCCTCAACAATCTTATGAGCCACGCACAAGAACTAGTAGCAAAGCTTCGTTCCCTGCAGTTTGATCTACGAGAATTTGTATGTCTCAAATTCCTGGTGCTGTTTAGTTTAGGTAGGTACACTCTACTCTTCATACCTTATTTAATAGTGTTATTATCTTTTTCTAAAAACATTGAAATTATTTTGCTTTTCTTAATGTTTTTCTGAAAAACATGATATTGAAATATATTTAATGAGGTTCAAAGTAATCTGAGGACTATTTTACAATTATCACTTGCACGAAAATTATGTATAAGGATTAGAAGTGAGTTTCTATAGAAATTACTCCTAAAACCTGTGGAATTTAATAGAGTGTTACAAGCTTTCTATATTTCTGTATGCGGCTTCTGAATATTCCAGAACAAGGATAAAATTATTTTAAAAATTCTAGAGAACAGTGGAAAATACAGATTGCCATGTTTTTCTATGATATTGAATATAGTTACAGAAAGCAGATGGGGTGGGGATACGGTTGAAATATCCCTCTTTTTCAAAGGCATCTGTGGTAAGTATAAACAATCTTCTTTGCATATGATGGCTGTCACATCGTAATTCATAAATCAGGAATGTATCTCATAGTTTTTAAAAAGTGAAAGGAGCTCTTAAAGTGCAAAATAATGATAATAGCTTTATGACAGATCTGGCTAGGAAATAACCTTTGAATGGAAGATTGTTTTGTACTAGTGGAGAGGACATAGAATGGGAAAGATACCTATGCAAGACAAATTAGTTAAACCAGTGCCCTCCAATGAATCAGTCAAGAAAAATCACTGGTGCCACGAATAAAAAAAGGCTTAGGGAAATGGATTCCTATTGACTTCATAGGAACAGATTTTTCAGGTTTGCACTTTGTTGACTTAATAAAGCTGGTCTAAATAAACTTTGGCCAAGTGAATTTTTATTTACTGGCAGACGGTTGAAAGGAGAGACTTAAAAACATAAATAAGGTCAGATCAAGCCATATCTCCACAACCAAACCTCACAGTTTATTCAAAATATATTTTTGTCTATAAAGAGAGTGAACTGTTAAGCCAAGCACAACAAAGAAATAGCAGCAGAGGTGACAATTAGTAATGTTTTTCTGTGGTTTTCAGTTTAAAAAAAAATTCTGTAAGGGCATAAAATTCTACAAATAAATTATTATAATACAATAGCAATTAGACTAAAAGGAATAGTTTTGGCTACACTGTAAAGCATTAGGTACTGTCTTAAATATCTCCTTCCATATGGCCTTCATATAATTTGATCCTGCTTTGGAAAATTTTAGATTAAGGTCTCTAAATACAGGGAGCATAAAAGATCAATACTTCAGAGGTGTAGGACATGGAATATGTTGGGGAAAAAGTAATTACTTCAAATATTAGAATGATGCCAACAGAATCGAGTGTTATGAAGTTTGTACATTCAGAATCCTAGGAAGAGATGATGTGTTTACCTGGTAACTATTAACATTGTCTATTCAGGACTTCGTCACTTTCCATGTCTTAGATTCAGAGAATAAAAAGGAAGCCATCTGTTGCAGAAATTATGTTTTATGAATTAATCTAATGAATAACAAGAATTCAGATTTCCTAATTCCTAATAAGTAGGTTTTTCAGTCATTAGTGGCACAGAAACGTCTAAAGAGCCTGTAGCTTTCCTCTGATTAAATATTTAGAGAATTCATCTCAGTTCAGTGGTATTTTAAATTAGCTGAATAAGCGAAGTGCATTTGGAAAATTTTCACATTTAGGTGGCCTTTTTGTTTGATCATGTTCATCACCTCTTCAGGTACTTTGCATCGATTCAGAAATCAGTCTTACATCTTTAGCTCTTCTAATTCTGCCAGGTAGCATGCTCAACTTCTGAAGCAGTTGGGCAGAAATACCTTGGAAGCTTGTACCGAGCCAAGTTATCTATTTTTTTTCTCATTTGTGCTACTATAATAAGAGTTAATTCTGCTGCTAATAGGAGCCTTGTAGCCATATCACTTGCATATAAAAGGAAGCCAAGAAACATTCGACACCTTAGAAAACCTTTGAAAGCGATTAGTTCATTATTTAGCGTACTGCATAATTCAATTTGCTAGTAGTCAAAGCTAGATGTTACTCTGCAAAGAGTAAAACGTAAAGATGTTACCACTTGACCCACAGGACTGAGGCAAATATTTAATGAAGAATGATGACAAAACTGAAATGAAAAACATAGGTACCCTTTCCAGCTATGTACTTCAGTTTATACGCAAAAGTATGAATGAATTGTCTGGTTGAAGTTAATAAGATGCCTAAAAGTGAGTCAGGTTTTTGAAGACACTGAAGTGCCTAACAGCACTGGTAAGTATTCAGCAGAGCTGTCAAAACGAGCTGAGCATCAAATTCTACATAAATATCTGGGAGCAATTATTGCACCTGAGTATCTAGGTGCATTTGACACATAACTACATCTCTGAGGCATCTCAACAGAAAACTGGTCTTAATGCCAAAAATCCATCACTTAATCCAAAAAAATATTTCAAAAACCTCAGCTGGTTCTTGTTGAAAGTCTGGTCCTGTAATGTTTAATGGAATAAAAAGCGCTTCAAGACATTCCAGCCTTTTTACATTTCTAAGGATATTCACACACACACCACAGTGTTAACCAAAGCAATGAAACCTTATGCTGTTATTCTTTAGTATAGCGCTTGGTTGGAAAATATGTCTAATATAAAGCCTCTCAAAGACAACATGAAGTCAATAATCCACAGAATTAATTTATGGAGAAGAAGTTGTTTGTTTTTTATAACCATACAGATACAAGTCTGCCTTGTAAAACTGTTTGTTATTCATGGCTGTACTGTATTGTCTGTCTCTTCACAAGACAGCAATCTCCTTCAGGGCAAAAAACTTTGTCTCCGCCTTTTTTCCTAACATTTCAGAAGCGGTTATCTTAGTAAACTAACAGTAAAATAATGTTCAAAACCCAAAGTACTTACAATAATTTCTCAAAACACAACTAAATCATATCAGTATTGCTTGCTAGATAGATTTTTAAACGAGAGAGGCAATTGTTCGTTATCTACTCGTCAAAGATTCCAAAGGGTTTGTACAGGAAAATGCTTTTGATTGATGGTAGCATTAAAGAAGATGCTGTTGAAGTTTAGACAGATGCATATTTATTGTAGCCTTTGTGGCTTGTGGTGCACAACTCTTCCTGCAGTCAAACGATATATACCCACTCCGGGGAGTAACACACCCAGGCACAGGAGCCCGTCCCTTTCTTCAGTGGGCCATCTGGTCTGTGCCCACCTGACCAACACTGCCAAGTATATAATGATACAGTGACTCAGCAGTTATTCAATAAGCCAGACTAGTTTGGTAATCTCTTTAGTTTAGTTATATACAGTATGAATATATATGTAGAGTTAGGTAACTCCTCCAGTTATAAAAAGTGCCTACAGCTAGGTATGTCTTACCTCTCTGTCCATAGAAGTCTCCTTTCTTGTCCATAGATCGTCACACTTCAGTGATTGTCTGTCTTTCTACTCTCAGTGGTTCCTCATGCCATCCTTCAGCCCAATCACTGCCAATATCTGGAGAGGAGCAAGTCTATCATAACCTGGACTACCAGTTCAGCTGAATCAGTCCTTCAGGTCCTGTGATCCCACAGGGTAAAAAGTCAAAGAACAAATCATTTCATCATGCCATTATCATCTCGTGCATGGTTCAGACTCGGCTGTATTTTAGATTAACAAGAACCCTGACTCATAAGGACATTAAACCACCAGCAGAGACCCCAGCCTTCATAGCTTCACTGCACCATCAGTGGTCAGTCAATTACTCTGCCAAGACATAGGAAGTTTGGACTAAATTTAAATCCCATCACATTACTCTGATCCATTTACATGATCCACAGATCTACTACGCTAGTCCATCAGAGTTCCCTTAAAGAATTACAATCTTTCTCTCAGTTGGTCCTCTGTGGCAATTCCCTCACAGCGTACCTCCTCGCTACATAAACAAACATAAGTTGCTTTCTTCTATCACTGCACACCAGAACAGCATTACACAAATCAGCCAGTCTAATTGATAACGGTGATCACAGTAAAGCAAATAGAAGCAGGTCTTGTGATCAGAATCGCCCTCCGCAGTTTTGGTTGTGTAGCCTGGTGTAACAGCTAAGCCATCTTCTAGTCACTTCATCTCTGATGGACATGTCTGAATTCTGTACCAACATCTGTCTTTTCTGCAAACGATACACTAGATGCTGATTGAATGTTTTATTTGAAGATGAGATGGACTTCTGAAGCCAAAGCATTTTATTGCAAAGGAGCAATCTATCTACCAACATGATTTATTTGAAAGAAATCTTTTGTTTAGGTGGCCTAGAAATAGCAATTTCTGCTATCAATCTCCATTTCAATTATCTTGGCTATTACCTTGCTTTGAAGTAAATCAGGATGCCAGTTCTGATAGCAATTATCCTTACCAACCTTTCTTGCACTGAGGTTTACATCATATTTGCAAACCCAAAAACATGCCTGTTTTGTGGGGGCATCATTCCTGTGTTTTCACTTACAGAGGTGTTCTCCCCATAATTCCAATGAAGGGAGTAAAGGAAATCAACATACCAAACCACAATTTAATTCAGGTATATCTGCCATTTTTTTCTGCACAAGCTGAAGATATACAGTTAAAAAAATCAATAGCTCAAGAGATATACAAATCTGGATTTTCTTGACAACTTAGTTGCATTTGACAGGTTTCTTTCAAGCAAAAAGAACCAAGACAGAGCCATGACAACTCAGCAATTATAATCACACAGTTGATGGAAAGCTAATGCCGAGGCACATGTTGCAAAACTGGGAAAGAAGAAAGAAATCTTTGACAGACCTGAGTGTTAAACCTACTGTTAACCGTACTTCTGCAGGTTTTGTCATTATGAACTCCCATCTGAGAAAGATGCTGATCGCATAAAATTTGTTTATCAAATTTACCACTAAATGAGAATAAATATATCTGGTTTTCCAAAGCTAGCCAAATTGAGGATAGTGAAATTTCTTTACCCTAATACCAAAGTAATAATACACCTAATTTTTCCATAGCATATAACCAGTAT